ACGTTCAGTGGTTAAAGAGACCATGTAGCATTTTTTTACTTTTGCTTGTAAAATGTGGGTCCTGCTCCCAGTCTTCTGGGCAAAAGCCATCTAGACTCATTTCCTCTAGATGAGTGTGTTTCCAACTGTAGACTGAGATCCATTATCGAGCTGTGAAATCAATGTAGTGAGTCTCAACAAAATTACAAGAAAAAAAAAATTTCAGGATATATCATACATGTAAAGTGTATCGTTTAATGGAACTTCTGTGTGATTGACTCATGGAACTTATTATGTGTGTGTGATTGTGGGTAGCATTTTTTTTAAGTTTAAAAATTACCATCCTAGATTACCTCATCCTAGTTTGAACATGAAATTAAGCAGAATGACTGTCCCCTTTGCCTCAAGTGAGCACTTTAATTCTTTAAGCATGTTTGGACAAGGTGGCCATTAATTCTTTAGACCTCTGACCTTCTCAGGCATTTGCTTAAAAAAGAAAAAGAAAACCTTTATAATCATTTAATTTCTGTAGTGGGATGATACACCTAATGCCACATTCTAGTCCTTCTTAACCTGTTTCTTGGGACTCTGGTCCGCTTCCCACAGAGTACAGTATGGTTTTCAACTTCTCCCCTATTTCCTACTGCTAAAAGAAACACAACTGTTTTTCTTTGGGGCAAATGTGGGACCACGGGGACATGGATAACTGTCCTATTCATTTTATTTAAATAGACCAAGGACGCCAACAGAAAGAGACTGGTTAACAGGACTAAATAGTTTATAAGGGGTTCAGGATGGGGAACACATGTAAATCCATGGTTGATTCATGTCAATATATGGCAAAAACCACTACAATATTGTAAAATAATTAGCCTCCAACTAATAGAAATAATTGAAAAAAAAGAAAAAAGAAATGAGAACCTGTCAACAGAGGTGTCAGTACCACATGGAGCTGCTGGGAAAGAGGCATGGGATTTTAGGTCAGCCCCCAGCAGGGACAGCTTCACGGGCGTGTGACCGGTGCAGTCATGCAGAGCACTGAGAGCAGAAAGATGCTTGGCTTAATGTTCTGTTGTCCCATCTTGACATCTGTTTTCAACAAAGAAGATACATTTTAGGAAAGTCAAACAACCAAGAAACCCTATTCTTGCTTGTCACTTACCCATATTAGCCAACTGTGTGCTCAGTCGCATCTGACTCTTTACGACCCCGTGAACTGTAGCCCTCCAGGTTCCTCTGTCCATGGAATTTTCCAGGCAAGAATACAGGAATGGGTTGCCATTTCCTTCTTCAGGGGATCTTCCTGACCGAAGGGTTGCACCTGCAACTCAATAGAGACTCAAGACTCTCTTGAATCTCCTGCATTATCAGGCAGATTCTTTACCGCTGCGCCACCTGGGAAGCCCTTATTGGCCAACTACTTACATCAAAGTTTATGACATCGAAGAAAATGGAAAGATAGGGCAATCAATAGTTTATTTTCCTTTCAGTTTGTCCTTACACATCAGTACGTCAAACACAGGGAATGTTGGTAGAACATGTTGTACCAAGAAGTGAAATAAAACGCTGAGTTACTTTTGCCCAACATTCCCACTGTACTAGTAAATACATGTGAATGCATGAGGTACAAAATACCAATTATGTAATTTCAATGATTCCACAAAGGGGTTAAATGTTTTTGTTTGCACTTTAAACTGTTGTTATATACTATGAAGATGAATGATAAAATTTGTGTTGACAGAAGTTTAACTTGGAGTGGCATTGAAAATTTAAAAAATACAAGTTAAGGAATCACAGAAGCAAAGGAAAAGCTTAGAATTTCAGCATCTTACATTTTTTTCTGCAGCTTAAACAAGAGGCTTGCATTTTCATTCTGCACTAGGCTCTGCCAATTATGTAGCTGGCCCTGCCTTCAGGACTAGAAACAAGATCAATAGCATGCTGTCCCTCTTGGATTATTCCACATTTCTTTTCAAAGCTCGGGGAAGACTTCGTCCTGATCTCCATAGACAAGAATCATGCGTCCCTTACCACGCATGTCAGGACCTTGGCTCCCTCGGGGCAGTGAGCAAAATGTTGGCCTGCACCGAGCGTGTCAGTGCTTACCACCACCACTGAGCAGGGTTTCTTGTTCCTTTTTGGGACTGGAGGTCCAGGCAAGCCAAATGTGCACCTTCCCTTGCTATTGGAAGTGTAGTTGTAATCGAGCAAGAAAATGGGCTCCACGATGTGGAATTAAAGGGAGAATTTGTGGCTCTTCCTACTACTGGACTACCTGAGGTGAATGACAAGAGGGAGTTTAGGTCAAGCATCAAGCCCTGGGTAGACGCATAGTGTAGGAATGCCAGTCCTTGGATCCCGTTGTTCAAGAAACAAAACCACACAGGGACTTCGTCTTGCCCTTCAAATTATGCTGTAGAAGGCTCACCTGTCCTAGTGAGCAACTTGCCTCACCACAAAAAAGCTACAGTAGGGATACAGCGGCAGTTGGCCGCTTGTCCAGCTTGAAATTAACTGTGGAAGCCTTTTCTCCGGATATGGATACAGATGGGGGTGAAGTTCTAGGGCTGGTAAAAACTTTAGCAGATGACACATTAGTGGCTATGACTGCAGTGGAAGCAGGAGACATGATGGTATGGAAGATGCTGGGACCAACAGTGCTCTCCTTTTCTAAGATATGTGCCCACATGGCACTTAGACATCATGGAACCAAGTAAAAGAATCACTTCAAATTTTTACTTATCCTTCATTTTTTTTCTGGATCTCCAGTTAAAAGTATCATTAGATCTTTTAATTTTATCCTCTATATTTTTAACCCTGTATTCCCCATTTTGATTCCCTAGGTACCCCATATTCTAAGTAATCAGGCTTTTATCTCTATTCAAGTTGTGTCTAGAAGGTGAAGTCACTCAGTCACGTCCGACTCTTTGTGACCCCGTGGACTGTAGCCCACCAGGCTCCTCAGTCCATGGGATTTTCCAGGCAACAATACTGGAGTGGGTTGCCATTTCCTTCTCCAGGGGATCTTCCCGACCCAGGGACCGAACCCGGGTCTCCCACATTGCGGACAGACGCTTTACTGAGACCCCAGGGAAGCCCAAGTTGTGTCTAATCTACTCTCTAACCCATCCACTGAATTTATCTCAATAATCACACTCTTCATTTCAGAGAATTCTACTTTTCAGTTCCTCTCCGTCCATCTTGGGAGTCTCTTAAGTGTTCATTCATTTAACAAATATTTATTGAGCCCCCACCAAGTGCAAGTTACAAGTACTGTAGTTATACAAGTGAAATGAAACAAAAGGAAAAAAAATCCATCTACTCTCAGAAAGCCTACATCCTAGTGGGAGAAATACAACAAACCAAGTAGGTAAATCATGCAGTCTATTAGGTGAGAACTGATGGAAAATAAGGAAGAGAACACAAAATTTGATTTTAAATGTGATTTTGTATTCTGGTAATTCTGAAATCTTTAGTGGTCTCAGTCACAGCGGCTTGCTTCATTTTCTATCTGGTGATCTTTGATTGTAAGCTAGTTAACCTAAATTTTTAGCAACCTTAGGGGCCTCGTTGAGGTTTCTTGTTTTAACCACTAACATCCACAACAATGAATGGCTTGTAAGCTGAATATGGCCCACTGCCGGTTTCTGTAACTAGTGTTTCTGGCACCAGCCAGGCTCATTCGTTTATGTAATGTCTAAGGCTGCATTCACGCTACAGCAGCAGAGCTGAGTACATGTCAGGGAGACTGTACTAAAACATTTACCATCTGGCTGTTACAGAGGTCAGAAAAAAGTTAGCTGACCTCTCATCTACAGAGATGTACAAAGGAACTAAAAACAAAAACCTCAGGAAGCACTAACCTATTCTGTTGGAGCACATGAATTTGGTTCCTTAACAAAAATGCCCTTTCACCTATTAATTTTGACAAATGAGCCTAAGGAAATAATCAGAGATGCAGACTTCTGTACTGGACTGTACAGTACTTCCGTACTGGGCTGGTTCAGTCTTTTGTATTTTACCCTGTTTCCCTTCATCTCACCTTCTACCTTATCTGTATGATTGCTCAGGTTTTCTTCTGCTTCTGGTTAAATGCTCCGTATGTCATCTTGGTCCTCTTTGGAGGATTTTTCTGGTCTTTATATTTTAATTCTACTCTTGTTTTATATTTTAATTCTATTCTTTTCCATAAATATAACCAAAGTACCCTATGTTTTGGACAAAATCACTTAAGTATTTCAACCCTATGATATCCTCAATTTGCTTGCTAAGTTTTAATTCCTCTTCTAGAAAAAGGGACAAGAACTCACTATACAAACACACTCTCCATTTCCTTCATTTTCCAACCCACTGCATTTAAGCTTCTGTGTCCTCTCCTCCCTTGCTCTGATATTTCCACTAAGATTATTAATGACCAAGTTGTAAATCATATGGCAATGTTTTCTAACTGCAGAGATAAAACATTATATAACTCTTATAGACTTTGCTTATTAGTTAGTATAGAAGAAATCATTAAGAAATATATAACGATAGGAAATACAATTTCCAATAACGGTAAGGGTCTGGTGAGTCAAATTCTGTTCAAATTGTTTCACATGTATTAAATCACATGATCCTTTTTCATTATCCAAGGTCAGTTAATGGCAGAGCCAAGATTAAAATTCAGTTTAGTTCCAGAGCTTATACTTAATCACTATGTTTTATAGCTTTTTCCATTAGGCAAATAAAACTATAATCATCACTGAAAAAAGGTCTAATTTTATTACTTTCAACATTGCATCACAATGAACAAAACAAACTAAAGTAACACGCAGCTTTACAAAAATAAATTTTTATTAGAAGCAGTAGAGTCTGGGCAGGAGACAGTACAAAGAGTGTGAACAATGTAAACATCACTACATTCAGCTCAGCCTGATGAGTGCTGAAAGACAACTCTAAATGCGCTATGTGCCCTTATAGCAGGATACATTAGTTCTACGGTACACAGGAAACACACGCTACTTTTGATTGGGAAAAGTACTTTATCGCAGTCGGTCCCAGCGCCAAATGCTGGCATCATCACAAACAGCTATAAGAATGCTGCTGTCCCTGCTGAAACTGGTTTGTCGAATAGCAGCCCCGCATTTGTGATGAGTCAGCGTTGTGCATCTAGGGAGAAAACATGACAACAGGTTAAATACCACACACATATAATGCTGTCAGTATCAAACTTAAAAACACTGAATTAGAAAATGAATAGATGTTGTAAGTCATACATACAGAAAGCACTTGAAACCAGAAAATACTTCACTAAGAGCCTAATCTCAAATTTCATAAATTTGGGGTGTATTTTAAATCAAAGAGGCACCATATACTTTATACAAAAAAAAAGAGAACTAATTTACTACCAAAGTACTCAGGAAAAACAATTATTATTAGAACAAAAAAGAAATACTTTACAATATGCTGAGAATGTAAATGTTACAAATGATGTTAAGGATGGCATTGTAAGTATCTATTACTTACTCTATAGTGACAACAAAAGCCAGAAATTATGAAGAGGAATTTCTAAATACTTACTTGGCTTTATGAGGATCTTCTACTTCTAAATCCCAAACATAAAGTTTGCCAACCTGATTGCCCAATGCAAGCATCTGTATAAATATATTTTAAAAACCCATCAAAAACAAAACAAAAAACCATCAAATTATTAATATAAGCTATAAAGATTTCAAGCAATCCTTAGATATCTTTCTTATTGCAAAAAAACCTCAGCTCCACCCTATGGCAATGCTCTTGGTTATTTCTTTGCATCTTATATTTCTGATTTGTAAATGACGATAAGAACAACTAATGCTTCACAAAAGTGTCCTGAATAAATTAAGCCATTTTGCAAATTTTTGAAGAACTATACAATGTACACAATTAGCATGTATTCTTCATTCTGCCTTAAAGAACTGTAATAAAAGCCACAGAAAATTTCCAAAGCTTTCATATAGAAAGAAATAACCAAGTAATTTGTTACCATAAAATTCTAATACCAAACTTCTGTAAAACTTTAGATAACTAATATTTTGTCTCTATCTTCCATGTTGGTTTTCTATATAAGAACATTCTAATCACCAAAACATTAACTCTTAGTAACAGATGTTATGGAAAGTAAACACCTAACTGCCACCATTGACATCTGTCAATTTCATCTATAATAAGCACTGCAGATGGTGTGCAGAGTCACAAGGGCAGAATAAATAACATCAAAGGCCAAAGCAAATAATACAAAAAAATCAAGGTAGATTACACTTAAGAGGAAACAGAACAGATACACTCAGAGAAAACTTAAATTGCATGGTTTTAAGTCAAATAATTTCAAAATGTAAAATATGTTGCTACCTTTTGCCAGAAATCCATAGAAAACCTCATGTACCAAATGTCACACTGGCTGTAATCAAATCGCCCAAGAATAGTCACATTAGACTCACTGGGTTTAATTTTATCTATATCATCTTCCATTTTGCCAGGTTTCCAGCATACAATGGCATTTTCACAAGACTTAAAAAAAAAAAAGACACGTGATAAAAAAGAAATGTTAATTGTAGAACTGAATTTTAAACATTACAAACAAAGCTTTTTCTCAACTATCACTTCAGAATTCACAGCTCTTTAAACCTGGTTATCCATCAGCTGAATCCAATGATAAACATATTCATTTGTATTTACAGAATCAGTATCCACACTTACAGATGTCTGATTATCAACAGATTTTAACAATACAAAAGCATTACACTATCTAGAATATTCATTTTTGAAGTCACAACATGTCTTCTAAACCAAGTTTCAGCCTTAGATACTTCAGCATACACAGACTTAAGTATTTTTTAGCAAAGATAAAATTAAAAACATATTAGAATACACAGTTCTTCAATATGGACCCTGCTCATTCCATCTTTCCCTATTTCACTTCTAATCTCCTGTGGTTCCCTTTATACAGTTAACTATTAATCCTTCGTCTGCAGTATCTGTACTACATGGTAGGTACTCAATAGATGTTTTAGGAAAGCTAATGAATTCATACAAGGGGCCTTACAGATCGGATTATACAGAAGGCAATAAACGCAGTGATTCAATATCCCGACACTGGTAAGGGGACGGGAGTGAAATAGGCTGAGTTACACCTTCTCTGCCTGCAACAGTGAAATCTTTACATGCATTCTACTTTAGTAGCAAGTGGTGAAGGACACATGGGAGAAGCAGATGCAACGCAGAGGGCACTGTTTCCATTACTGTGTGGGCCAGCAGTTTGCCACTAAGGGGTCTTTGGCAATGTCTCTGGCTTCCAGTTAAGAGAGGCCAGCGAATGCTGAAAACGGCAATGTAGAGAACGGCTCCTCCCCCAAAAAAGAACTGTCTGACCTCATTATCTCAGACCCAGGACTGAGAAATCCTGGTGGAGGTGAATGGTGCTTACTGGAATTTTACAGGACACATTCTACACAACCACATATGGTAGCCCTGTGGGGTTCACTGGCATTTCAACAGCGAGGTCATAGGGAGATTAGGGAGTGAAGAACATGTTGTTTTCCTCTCTGCCTGTTTTAGATTATATAAAGTCCCAGGGTCACAGATCCATTATACGAGTTCTTCATTGTAAAGTACCTTAGAGAGCACCCAGTCTGCTGACTCTTTCAAGTGCACAGTTGGACTGACAGCCTGTAGAGCTTTCTTTAAAAACACATCTTGGCCCCAACCCCACTGAATCACAATTTTTGAGAGAGGAGGCCAAAGCGGCAGAATTGTAACATAGCTCTTCAAGTGCTTCTTACTGACTGTACTGGTAAAGGACTCTTAGTAGAGTCCCCTCATGCCGAGCCGAAGCACAGGGAGGTAAAAATAGTCTACCCACACTGATGGACAGCTGTACCTGAAAGTCATCCAGAGAGTTTCTAACAATTACAAATCCTCAGGTCTTGTGCTAGATGTAGAATACCTGGGGACGAAGCTTAGGAATCTGTTTTTACAATGTCCTCCCAGTAGTTCTGATGTGGAGCCAGATTTGAGACCACCAATACTCAGTTCAGCCTCTTACCTAAAATGCAGAAATCTTTTCCTATCATCTGATTAAGTTCTAAGAGCAGAAATTTTAGAGCTACTGTCTTTTTACATCTTCTTCCAGCAATCAATGAAGTAGAGGTACTTCTCCCTATTCATCTCACTAGATACAACTTAAAAGTCTGAAGGGTAGGGAGGAAACAGACAGGTTCAGGATCCTGGGACACGAGGGCTCCTTGGTTTTCTTTTGCCTCCTTTCTGTATCCCAGACTGCATGCTAGAGAAGGTAGCGACTCAACAAAGCTAAAGACAAAACAAAGCCTCCCAAAGCCTCCTCTCTCCAAAGGACCAGGAAACTGGCAACCCAGGATGAGAAAATTTTCAGGTAAACAATACCACAGAAAAAACTGTGGACCCGCCCACACATGAACCAGCAAAGTCCCAGTGGGGATCCCTTCTCACCGGTGGTGACTAAACACTTCAAGTACATAATACCCTGCTGACTCCTCCCTACCCCTCATGGTAATGAGGTGACTCCTCCTCCTCTCTGGCTGGGGTTGTATTAGAAGCAGTATAGCAAAAAGTCGAGAGAAGTGGACAGAGGATGAGATGGTTGGATGGCATCACTGACTCAATGGACATGAGTCTGAGCGAGCTCCAAGAACTGGTGATGGACAAGGAGGCCTGGAGTGCTGCAGTCCATGTGGCCGCAAACAGTCGGATGCGACTGAGCGACTGAACTGACTGACTGAACTGAGCAGACAGCCAGGATGTTCACAACCACCTACCACAGTGTCAGTGGAGACCACCCAGGGAGCAGTAATGCGGGCTCCAAACCCCTCCCTGCTAGGGTGGTGTCAGCTGAATCCCCGTGAAAAGCCTGAACTCCTGCCCCACAGAAAAGAGACAACATCACCAAGTCAACCAAGTGGGGAACCTTAACGTCCTTTGCTACCTGTCAATCATGAAGCAGCATTCACTTTACAGCTGAAAATTTATCAAAGGAAGCCGCTGTAAGAGAGCTAAATAAGAGCCCGAGTGTCCTAACAGTACCCAAAATATCCATATCTCCATCAAAATTCACTTGTCATACCAAGAAATGTTAAAATCGCAACTTTAATGAGAAATGATAACAACAGACCCAAACAATGAGATGACACAGATGTTAGAACTATCTGACGAGGATTTTAAAGCAAAGAGTTGGACACGACTGAGTGACTGAAGTGAACTGATCATAAAAATGCTTCACCCTAATACAAAATTAAAAGTACAAAATTTGAAAAAAAAAAATGCTTCAATGAGAAATTACAAACACATTTAAAATACAGTCTCAGCAAAGAAAAGATAAGAACCATGTGGAAATTTCAGAACTAAAAATACTATAACCAAAATAAAAGAACAACTGAAGGGCTCACCAGCAGAAGAGAAATGAGAGTCAGTAAATTTAAAGTTAGAACATAGAAATTACCCAATTTGAACAAGATGAAAAGACCCTGATGCTGGGAAAGATTGAGGGCAGGAGGAGAAGGGGACAACAGAGGATGAGATGGTTGGATGGCATCACCGACTTGATTGACATGGGTTTGGGTGGACTCCGGGAGTTGGTGATGGACAGGGAGGCCTGGCGTGCTGTGGTTCATTGGGTCGCAAAGAGTCAGACACGACTGAATGACTGAGCGGAACTGAACTAAGAAGTTACCAAGTAAACAAAGAAAAACAGACTTATTAAAATGACAGAGTCTCAGAGACCAAACAAAAAATCTAAAGTATCATTAGAGGAGAGCGGGGAGAAAAAGGGGATAAAGAAGAATTTGAGTAATGGCTGAAAAAAAACCCATATTTGGGATGAATTATGTCCCCTAAAGACAGACCTACAGATTCAAGACAGTAAATGAATCCCTCAAAGACATCAATATCAAGCACAGCACAGTCAAACTTCTGAAAACTAAAGATAAAGAAAAAAAAATCCCCAAAGCAATTAAGTCAGAAAGAATACCTTAGCTATAAGGAAAAACCAATTCCAACGGCGGCAGACGTCTCATTAAAGCTGACAGCAACCAGAAAGACGAGGAACAGCACTGTTCAAATGTTTAAAGAAAGAACTGTGAACACAAAACCCTCTGTTCAGTGAATATGCACTTCAGGAATAAACGGGAAATGAGGACATCCCTAAACTAAGAAAAACTAAAAGAATCTGTCACCATTACAAAACAACAGCTACTGAATGTTCTATGAACAGAAAGGAAATGATAAAACAAGGAATCTTGGAATATTAGAAAGGAGGAATGAACAACAGAAAAAGCAAAATGAGTAAACACAAAATTCTCCTTTCCTTCAAGTTTTTAAATTCTGCTTGATGGTTCAAGCAAAAATTGTAATATTATTTAATGAAGTTCTCAACTGTAAGGAAATATTTACAACAATTTTAAGTGGAGGACAAAGTGGGAGATAAGCTTCCTATACTGCATTTGAAGTGGTAAAATGCCGATATACTGATGATCACATACATATATTGCAATTCCCAGAGCAAATATAAAAACAAAGCAAACTACACAAAGAAATACACTCAGAGGTAGTACAGATAAATCAAATTGAAATTCTAAAACATGTGCACATAACCTACAGGAATTTAGGGGAGAAAACCCAGGGAAATGAAAAAAAAAAAATTAAATGCCAGACAATGTAACAATTGGTAAGTCAAGTCTCAAACAGTCTAAATTTACAAGCTAAAAGACAGTTCCTCAAAGTGAATTAAAAAACAGTATGACCCAACTGTATGTTGTCTGTAAGAAAGTCACTTCAAATATAAGAATACATGTAGATTAAAGGTAAAGGGTTTGAAATAGATATACCATGTAAGCATTAATTAAAGAAAAAACAGCTATACTATAAGATAAAAGGAGACATCAAAGCAAAAAAATCTACCAGAGATAAGAGATGGACCTTCCACAATGATAAAAGGGTCAAGCTACCAAGAAAAAGCAATACTAAATGTGTATATGCTAACCAACAGAGCTGCAGTATATCACAGAACTGAAGAAGAAAGGAAAAAATTCATGATTATAGTTGAAGACTTCAGCACTTAGAGCAGACATCAACAAAGACACAGAAGAATTCAACCACACTCAACCAATAGGATCTAGCTGATATTTACAGAACACTCCACCCAACAATAGGACACATTCTTTTCAAGTCCCATGGAACATACACAAAACAGGGTAATAAAACAAATCCTAAAAATTTTAAAGAATCAAAATCATAAAGAATATATACTGACTGACCAAAATGGAATCAAACTAGAATCAGTAAGAGAAAGATAGTGAAAATTTTCCAACACCTAAATACTAAACGGGCTTCCCTAGTAGCTGAGTCAGTAAAGAATCTGCCTGCAGTGCAGGAGACCCGGGTTCGATCCCTGGGTTGGGAAGATCCCATGAAGAAGAGAATGGCAACCCACTCCAGTTCTCTTGCCTGGAAAATCCTATGGACAGAGGACCCTGGCAGGCTACAGTCCATGGGGTTGCAAAGATTCAGACATGATCTAGTGACTAAACCACTATCAAAAACTAAATAGCACATTGCATATCAAAATTTTTGTGAGAAGCAACTAAAGCAGTGCTGACTGAGAAATTTATAGCACCAAAAGCTTACATTAGAAAAGTCTTGACTAAATAATCTAACCTCCCAAAACTAGCAAATAGAACAACGAAATACACTCATAGGAAACTAAAAACAGGGAGACAGGAGATGACAAAGTAATTCTGCCAAACTCCTAAAAAGACTGACAAGTGAGAAGACATAAATTACTGATTTCAGGAATGAAACGGACTATCATAAAGACCTTGCAGATATCAAAAGGATAGTAAGGGAATACTCAAACAGCTTTCCACACATAAATTTTATATTAGATGGGATGGATCAATTCCTGAAATAGCACAAACTACCACAACTCACCCAATATGAAACTTCATTTGACCAACCTTTTCACTTTTAAGGAAATCAAGTTTTTAATTTTTAAATTCCTCCTCAAAAATTTTTAGGCCCAAATGCCAGTATTATTGATATCAAAACCAGACAAAGACAATAATACAACGAACAAAACTTCAGACCAATAATACACATAAAATTCTTAACAAAATATTAGCAAACAGAATTCAGCAACATAAAAAACAAATATACAGCATGACGAAGTAAACTTATTCCAGTGATTCAATTTTCAAAAACAATCAGCGCAGTCCACTGCATTAACAGGCTAAAATAGAAAAAACAATGATCATATCAATTGATGCTGAAAAAGCATTTGACAAACTTCAACACTTATTCATGATAAAACTCCGAAAAAATTAGGAAAAAGAACAACTCTCAACTAGATATAGAACATCTACAAAAATCATACAGCTAGGACTTCCATGGTGGTCCAGCATGTCTGACAATACAGGGGACATTGGTTCGATCCCTGGCAGAGGAACTAAAATCCCACATGCCGCAGGGCAACTATGCCCGCGCACCACAACCAGAGAGCCCATGTGCCACAAGGAAAGATCCTGAATGAGACAACGAAGGTCCCGAGTGCCGCTACCAAGACCTGACACAGCCCAAAAATAACTGCTACAAAAGAATCATACAGCTGATCTGTATAATTGCGAAAGACTGAATTCTTTCCCCCTTTAACATCAGAAACAAGTCTAGGAAGTCTGCTCTTAACACATTACTGACCAGAGACATATTAATATATCTTTTGTTACCTGAATGCTATTGACTGGAGATATATCAATATGTTTTTAGAGTGATACAATCAATATCACCATGTGAAGTTGTTAGAGCTTAAACTGCACCAATGGTTCATCATACAACTTATGACTATCATTATCAATTACATTTTGCTCCATCAGGTTTTTGTTCCAATTCTGTGTATATTATAAACATAAAATTTCAGAAATGACATGTCACGAAATTTTGAGGAAGAATTTTTCAGTGAATTTTATGCAAATACGTTCTACGTCTAAGTGACATACATACTAGTGTCTCAGAAGATGATAGTTCTTCAGAAATTCGTTCTAATTCAGATGATGTGAATATCAAACCAACAAAAACTCTTCCTGATTCTGATACAAAGTGAAAATGCAACAGTGCTGGAGACTGCTCCTGTACTTCTACAGGAGAGTGGACTGAAGACAACATTTCACAAAAATTAGAGGAATTACAGGTATGTCAGGTGTAACTGACTACAGGTACCTGTACAGTGTTAGTGAAATAAGAGAACTAATTTTTGACCTGTCAAAATAAATATCACCAGCCACAGGAGTTACTTTCTGCAAAAATCCCCCAGTCCTTAATGAGTTAAGACTGCTATTCAATGTAGCGCCAGAAGCTTGTCAGTGAAATGAGACAAGAAATGGAAAATTCTTTAAAAATTCAGTTCAGAAAGGAAGATATAAAAACAGTCCTTATTTAGAGATGAATGATTTATGTAGAAAATCCCAAGTAATTAGCCAACCCTTAGCCATCCCCCCCACCCAAACAAACCACCCTTCTTGAACTTAAGTAGTTAAAATAGATAGGATTCAAGATTAATACATAAAAGTAAATTTATTTCTATATATCAGCAATGAACACAAAGAGATGGAAATCAGAAATACCATTTATGATAGTCACTCAAGAAAGAGAAATGCTTAAGGTGTACCTGTAGCAAAGCAGACAGAGGACTTGCATGCTCAAAACTATAAAATGCTGGGGGATCCCTGGTGGCTCAGTGGTGAAGAGTCCATCTGCCAGTGCAGGAGACATGGGTTGGGTTCGATCCCTGATCGAGGAAGATCCCACATGCCACAGAGCAACTTAGCCCATGCCCCACAATTATTGAGCCTGTCCTCTGCAACAAGAGAAGCCACTGCAATGAGAAGCCCACACACCACAACTAGAGAAAAGCCTATGCAGCAAAAAAACCCACCACAGCCAAAAAATAAAATAAATAAAATTATATTTTTAAAAACCTACAAAATGCTGTTAATAAAAAATCAAAGGTCTAAATCAATGAACAGACATACCAGTCAAGGACAAAAAAACTAAGCAGAGGAGATATTAATTCTCCACCAAATTGATACACAGGTTTAACACAATTCCAATTAAAATGTTCCGTACCCCCAAAGAAATCCCGGCAAGATTTTCAGTGAATGTAGGCAAGATAATTCTAGACCTTATATAGAAAGGCAAAGGAACTAGATGCAAATAATTTTGAAAAAGAATAAAGTGGAAGAAATTACTCTACCAATTCCAAGACTTATTATAGAGCTGGAATAGTCAAGCCTGTGTATGTAGTGCTGGTAGAAGGAACAGAATAGAATAACCAGAAACAGCCTCGAATAATCAGAAACAGCCTCATATAAGCATGGCCAAACAATTTTGAAAAAAGTGCAAGAGCAATTCAAAGAAGGAAAGATAGGCTTTCAACAAATGGCACTGGAACAACCAGATAAACTATAGGCAAAAAATGAATTTCTACTTAAATGTCATACAAAAACTAACTTAAAATGGACCATAAATTTAATATAAAACATTATAAAAACTCCTGAAGGAAACACGGGGGAAAATCTTTAGGATCCAGGGCTTAGTGAAGAGTTTTTCAAAGTAATAGCAAAAGCATTATCCATAAAAAAATAATTTTTAAAAAAATCAATAAATTAAACTTTATCAAAATTGAAAGTATTTGCTCTGCAAAAGACCTTGTTAAGAGAATGAAAAGACAAGCTACAGACTGGAAGAGAAAATCTGCCAACTGCTTATCTGACATAGGATTTAGAATATATCAAGAACTTTCAAAACAACAGTAAAAAAACAAAAAAAGTCCAATTAGAAAATGAGAAGATACAAAGAGACATCATTGAAAGGATATATGGATGGTAAATAAGCACATAAAAAAGATGTTCAACACCACTAACCATCAGGGAAATGTAAATTAAGACCATGATGATGTATTACTACACACCTATCAGAACAGCTAGAATAAAAAATAGTGACAATACCAAATGCTGGCGAAGATTCGAAGACACTGCATCTTTCATACATTGCTGGTGGGAATGTAAAATGGCACGGCCACTCTGGAAAATAGTTTGGCAGGTTCTTAAAAAACTAAACAAATGTAACCATGACCCAGCAATTGCCCTTCTAGGCATTTATCCCAGAGAAGTGAAAACTTACGTTAAGTCCACACAAAAACCTACACACGACTGTTCAATAGCAGCTTTATTTGTAACAGGCCAAAAACTGGAAAGGACCAAAATGTCCTACAATAGATGAATAAGGTTAAATAAACTGTGGTACATCCACACCATGGGTACTATTTAGCAACTAAAAGGGAGACCTACTGATATACACAACTTGGATGGCATTATACCGAGTGAAAAATAATCTTAAAAGGTCCCATACAGAAACATTCTTCAAATGACAAAATCACATGTGATAAAATAACATACAACTACACATACACATACACTTACAATGTCAGTTTCCTGGATTTGATTTTGTATATATAAGGTGTAACCAATGGGAGAAACTGGGTGAGGGGCAATGTGAAACCTCTCTAAACTGTCTTTGAAACTTCCTGTGAATTTAATTTCAAAATCAAAGGTTAAAAAATAAAAAAAGTAACACTCTACCCTCATTGGTAAGGAAAAAATAAATAATCAGGCTCTACCCAAGAAAAAGTGAAATGCCCTGAAACCTATACCAAATAGAAACTGGATAGCAATTTATCCAAATCTGACAATCCTAAATGTTCAGATGACATCACCATCAACTTCTCTAAATTATCAGTAGAAAAAATATATATCAACATACTAGAGCAGGGGCTGGCAAACTAGAGCCCATGAGCCAACTCCATCTGTCTGTTTTTATACATGTAAGTTTACGAAAATGAACACGAACATTAAAACCCCCCAAAAAACCCTGCTACTGGCTTTAGATATTGGTAATTTTACAGTAACACTGGATATCAAAGAATATCATCTTGCAAGTTAACATTTTTAATCTTACTGGAGCACAAATTATAGTTCATCAGGATGTTTTATGCCTCAGATAAGTTTTTGAATTTTCAAAGTATCATGAGACTTAAAAAAAGAAAAAAAAGCAATTTCCCATCTGTTACACAATTTACCAACTGCATAAAAAACTGTGCTCCCTGCAGAGTTCCAACTCACACAAACAATGGAAATACAGCTTAATAGCAGTTACCATACCTTGGAAAGTATCAAATCACCTAACCATCGCACACAATCGACATAATTTCTATGTATGTCTCTGGTGGAAAAGTCAGGAAAATGAATTTTCTGAGAAATAAATGGCCTGAAATGGAAATATCAAAAGTTAAGAGAAAAATGTGTAGCAGAAGCTCACTAATTTTCCTTTTAGGATTTATAAAACTCTGAAAAGAAAAACAGATGAGTATTAGTTCATCTGTGTTCCTATAAAACTAAACATCTTCTGATCTGTTTATTGGGAACTAAAATTTCATTCTGTTTTTGTTTCTACATTTTACTCCATTATTAGCTCACAACTCAATTTTGTGTTCATTCTATGAAATTTCATTTATAAAAACTGCAACTTATAGACCAAAATCAATTACTTCAATTCTGGCTGTCCTAACCAATAACCAAAGACATCTGCTTAGAGCTGAAAATTTCTCACAGAAAAAGCTACCAACTCAATCCTTTCAAATTAACAATGGTCTATGAAAGCTAACACACCTACCTTATTTCAAAAGATAGTCATCTTTCAGAAACAATGACACATTTCAAAGTCTGGTAAAGCTAAAGTTAGGTGAGAATCCTGCCTAGAACAACAATTTTTGAAGATGATATCTGACAGGAAATTGACATTTTTTAGTTAGAACGTTTCCTGTATTTAGAAAATTAAAATATGGCACAATTTTTCCTTAAAGATGTTTGTGACAAGACTATAAGCTTGAGAAGTTGCTACCAATTCTTCAGTTAATTAAATATATACCTAACGTTTCTAATCTAGTAAGTGATTCAGTTTTTAAAGTGAAGTAACTGAAGAAGCATCCTATGCCATGAATTATTTGTATCCTGGGCAACTCACAAGTCTTCTCTTTGGCTTTTCCCTCATACATAAAAAGGATGTTGGGCTCAATCATTTCAAATACGTTTTCCAATTCAAACTGTGGGGTTTGTTGTGGTTTTTTTAACCTTTTTTTTGTGGCTCACAGGATCTCAGTTCCCCAGCCAGGGACTGAAATAGGGCCACAGCAGTGAAAGCCTGGAATCCTAACCCCTCGGCTACCAGGAAACTCCCAGATCTTTTCTTTATTAAAACATTAAAATGCTATTAATGACTTGATACAAATTCTTAACTGCTATAGCCTTATTAGCCAAGTATGTAGTATAATCTATGGTTAAACCTCTTTCAAGAAGACCAGCATTCAGCTACTTTCTGTAAGCTATAAAATACAACTTCTATTTATTCCAGAGCTCTAGAAAATACAAAAACACAAATTTAATATTGTACTAACTCCTGGTGTTTTAAAACAAAATTTGAAAGCTGTGCTAATTCTTAAGAGGCATGAGATGTGATGAATGTCACTGTATTAAAATATTTACTTATGGTTACAAATTCAACTAACAATCTACTCATAATGTGGGTCGATAATCAGGGAATTAACGGCTAAAATGAAAAGAGCAAACAAAGTTAACATTTACAAACATAGGATAGTCACAGTGAAAGAGTTAATAGCTTGATAAGATTCTGAAAAAGACAGTAAATTAATTAAGAACTGAGGTTTTTCAAAAATAAATTAAAAAACTGAGAAGTTCCCACATGTAGTCCCTTAGAACAAAGCTCCTGCTTTTGAATTTTCTATATAGTGAAGTATCATTTAAAGGAAAGCATTTATCATGAATTAAAGCTAAGAACCCCACTGAAAAAATTATGACTTACTGTCTTTAATTAGAATTTACAGTGTTGACAAGCGGTGTTAATAACATTAGCACATGCATACCTAAATAAAATACGTGAAATGGGCTACTAAATTAAGATAAAAACACAACCTGAAAGGGATTTTGAAAAATGAGCCACAAACATAATTAGATAAAAATAAAGGCTTCCATTTAAATTCAATGAGTTTTATGGCATATAAATTATACCTTAAAGTTACTAAAAGAGGGGGGTCTCAACTCAATACTGGAGACTAATATAACAATTTTTGAAAAAGTAAAACATTATTCAAAGGCATGAGATAGCAAATTGTTTTAAATACTACGACTGTTACCTGTTAGTTTTATTTGGGTTATAATCATAAGATTCCTTAATCGCATTCATCATTCTCTTTGAATTGATCCTCCAAAGTTTAAGAGAGTGATCCATACCACAAGACATTATTTTTTCACCCAAAAGATCATAATCCTGTATATAAAACAGAAAAGCTTAAATTAAATATGTAAATTATTTCCCCAAATTATGCTGATTTTCATCTCATGTCCAGTATTGTGGAAATTGTATTTCAAACCACAACACTAACATTTTGGGTTTCATATATGCAGGCTGTAAGTCACAAAGTTTTTACCACTTTCAAGATTTAGTTTTAACTGACTTGTTATCACCACAATATATGAGCTTATGCAATATGGCAGGTTAAGAAGTAAAATCTTTGAATTTAGTTTTATCTATTCAATTATCTTTAGCCAAATATTTCCTTTGCTTGATTTTGAAGGTGAATCTAATGCTGAGGCAAAACAATTATTTATGACATAAAAACCTGAATGGTTGTTATTTTTCTTTGTCCAACCCAGATGAAGCAATGAAACTGGTATCTGCATGTGAAATTAGGAGTCCTTTAAACAAGTGAAATTTACTTGTATATCTAAGTCAAAACACTTAGATAAGTTGGGTACCTTGGTTTTGGAGTTCACTTTTTAAATGAATAAAGAAAAACATGTCTTAAAAAGGAAGCAACATTTCCTCATTTGCTGTTTATTAATTTTTAATGAGCTCCTAACAGATCACCTATTGTTAACAACCTTATTCCACCTTATCTCACAAATTACTTAGGCTCAGAGATATTTACTTTAGCACATGGTACATGTGTCGATGAAAATCTCACACATCAATGCTTCTAGCAGTGAGCTACTATTGGTACAGAAGAGATACAAACTATCCCCTGCTTTCATTTTAAGAAACAACAGTAGAGAGTTCTAATTAAAGAGAGTACTTTCCTCACTAATCTAGATATTCTATGTAAATCCAATCTTTGAATCAATCATGAACACAGTTTTACAAAAGCCTGATTTTATTGAATTCAGAAGTCTGGCAGCTGCTACTTTTCCCAATTACCTCACTGTCAATAGCAACAAGACACCTCTAGAGCCAGGAGCTCTCACAGAGTTTTTAAGGAAGGAGAGTAGTCTTTGTTTTTTCACACATAAAGCCAGATGGAATTCTGCAAGTTCTAGAAAATCCTTTAAGGTAGGTATGATTCTCACGAAAGCATATAGGATTATTTAGTACCTCCAATTTAAATATCACATGCTTCAAAATATAATGCCCTTTTAAAATAGTTAAAAAAACAAAAAACGGAAGAGCTGCAAGACTACTAAATAAATAAGCTACACACAGAACTTAAGTAAACCTAAACACATCTGAAACTTAACTAAAGACACTTAATATCACTACAACAGATCAACAGATTATAATACAAAGCATAGAGACAACACCATGCCATCAAAGTGAAGTTATCCAAAAGTCAGTGTGAACAATACTTCCTAGAAATGTGTAACTTATATTTCAACTTCAAATAAAAGATGAAAAAATTTCTTAATTGCCAAGTAGGTTAACCTTTTCCTTTAATAACTGAGAAACAACAAAAGGTAACTTGGTGATTTTAGATTAAAAAAGTAAAAGAACAAGCTCATAGAATTCTTTCATGAGAATCCAGGCACTGGTAAAACATGTACAAGAGTACAGATAAAACACAAAGCGCCTACTTGCTTTATTTCATCTTTAAGTTAAAACCTTGTCTGTCACAGTAAATGAAGTAAACTGCCTGTCAAGCTACATGAAACAAACCACATGCTTTCTTGTAGGGATTGTTCACAGCTTTGTAACCTGAAGGTTACTGCCCTGTAGCTTTCAACTTACAGCACTTAGAACTTCATCTCTGTGCCCTTCTACACCTCCAAATATTGCCACCAGAGTGTCCGTTTGGATATTCCATAATCGTAAAGCATGATCTAGTACAGACATAAAAAAATTAACATAAACTTTTATCATTCATTTACTGTGGACTTTTAATATCTCTTTAAAGAAAAAACTACCAAAGTTTGGACTTAACTCATTCACAGTAATGACTAAGAAGGAATCCATATCATACAGGAACTTAAAATATTTATATTACCTGTAGATTTAACTAGGTATGAGTTCAAACTTTCAAGGGTACTAGTTTTTCCCTCCACTATACCCACATTTACAAATTGAAGAGGACAAAGTAAATTTATAAGATCTCTATAGTAAATCTAAAAATAGGATTGAAACATACACACATTGGGACATTATTTAGAGTATTATGGGACATTATTTAGAGTATTACGGACCTTTCAAAAATTCTGTAACTGTAATCTGAGCAATCTCATTTTCCACTAAACATCAGCAACAAAATAAATAGAAAGCAATATTCATAAATATAATACCAAGCAGAGTTTGAAATATAACAATGTCTATACTGTGTAATATTAACATATTATACAATATATTGTTAGTGGAAATAAACATTGCTACAAAAATGATTTCTTTCTGTAGCCATGATTTCAATCTGCATCCAAGTTTCTGTGCAGACATTTACATTTCTCTTTAAGATACATGTACCTAGGAGTGTAATTCTATGTTTAGCTTTTTAAGGAATTGCCAGATTGTTTTTCAATGTGCTTACACATTTTACATTCCCACCAGCAATGGATGAAGGGCTTCCATATTTTACTGTCTTTTTTACTTCAGTCATCCTAGTAGGTGTGAAGTGGTATCTCACTGTATTTTTGAGTTGCATTTCCCTAATGATTAACAATGAGTGCTTTTCCATGTGCTTATTAGACATTCTTGCCTATTCTTTGGAAAGATGTCTACTTAAAGCCTTTGCTTTTAATTTGGTTGTCTTTGTATTACTGAACTGTATGACCTCTTGATTTAAGTTCCTTATTAGATACACAACTTGCATATTTTTTTCCCCCTATAAATTGTCTTTTCCTTTCTTGAGAGTTTTACTTGCAGAAAAATTCCTGTTCATTTTGAAAAGCTGTTTGAAAAATGCTCTAACACAACGGGGGAAGAGCAAGGTTAAGAAACTGTGATATTAAGAACAAGTAAGCAATTATGGTCTATGTTACTTGTAAAAGAATATCTGAGCCCAGTTACTGTTATTAACAGAAGAGAAAAAGTTATCAGCTCTCTTCTTAGGTGTCTATTTCTAAACAAGCCTTGATAGCTGAAAAATCACACTGAAATATTTTTCATGTAAGAATTTTAACTTGAGGGTATCTTTTAATATGGGGAGATTGTGGGGGTTAGGTTATAGGTGGGATAGCTGTTAAGAAAATACATTTGACTAGAATAATAATGTAGAAATGAAAAGAGAAAGGGCAATAAAAACAGAAAGTAGAAATAAGAACAACTCAAATCACTTTAGAGAGCTCAGAAATGATTAAGAATGATTCAGAGGCCTGTCTGAACCCAAAATAAACTTACAATGCCAACAAAGGCATACAGAGCAAGACAATGCTTTCTCTTTGTAAGGAAGGAAAACATTTAAAAGAGTTCACGCTGGATAACTTAGCATTTTAAGGAATCCTATAGGGAATCTTTTATAAAATAGAAGCTTTATATAGAGAGAGGCAAAAAAAAGCACTATGGATTTTCAGATACACTATTTCTTATTACATGATTGGAAAGCATCAGATGATTTGCTAGACTACCTTCAAACTATTAAAAATGTTGCAACTTTGGTGACCTGCCATTAAAATTAATACAGTTTAGCATGATAATTCAATTGAGAATAAATTTCTAGAACTATCATAAGGCAATATGGAAAATAAGGGTAACACACACCTAATCCTCAGTGTCAATTATTTTATCTACATCTTACATGAACAGTGTATTTCATGGTCTCATTCTCCAGTTCTTGGTTTAGGGATGCTAATGTAGCCCAAGATTTTTCTAAAACTTACTTCTTATCAAATTTGGAATTTTCCCTTAGTTTGTCCTGAAGTCAAACAAAACAAAACAAACAAAAACCCAACTCACTCCCAAATAAATACAACTTAAGGAAATATTTGTTTCTCTTACCTTTACTTACTGACAGGAGAAGATTTGGATCTCTTGGGTGGAATTTCAGCTCATTGATAGCATTTCCATGGCCAACATAGTGCTATAATAAATTTAAGACATTTCAACTTTCATATAAAATTCAATAAATTCATTTTCATTAATCTTAGGAGAATGGAAAAATAATTTCACTTGAAGTAGTGGTTCTCAACCTTGGCAGCATATTAAAATCCCCCAGCTTGAAGAAAAAATAAAAGAGTTTCAAGTCCCATTTGCAGATATTCTGAGCCACAGCAAGGATTTAAAAGATTCTCACATGATTCTAATGTGCCCCCAGGGTTAAACTGAATTGTAAAATTTCTTTTAGTATCAACTTCCAAAGCTTCACTTTTCAATTCTTTACAAAGTACCCTTGATTCCATATCCCTATTTAGGGGTTCCTGAAAAATGAGTTCACTCTTTTTAGTTATTGTTCATTTAGAGCTTCTCAGGATAAAGCAAAAGAACAGAAATGATTTTAACAGAAAGCAGGGCAAACGATAAAATTTTCCCATTTATTCCTTAATTTGCATTACCCAAATGTGACAAAGGTCTCAAAAGACTTGTCTAAAGGAAGCAGCAGGCAAAGTACAAACCAAATTAAAAACTGCATAGAAATTGACTCCATTTTAAACTCAACATGGCAAGTTTTCACACGTGTGCATTCAAAAAAAGCAGATCTACAATTTAACAAGAAAACCCACCTTTATGCACTGCATTGTTATGGGATTAATTATCCTAATTATGCCTCTAGATCCAGCGACGGCCAGCAAAGGATGGCTTGTATTGCTATCATATGTCCACGCACAAGTGTAAAAGTTTTCATCAGCCTAAGAAATTCCAGTTAAGAAATATAATTTGGTTTTTAAAAGGAAACACATCAGTGATCACAATAATGTCCAAAGAATTGTTGAAGCTCTTGACAAAGAAGTTCCCGTTTTTCTTTATACCATCAGGGTTGAAACAATGAAGATTTTAGGTCTAAAATCTTTACGAAGTGATCAAACAAACCCATCCTTCCACTCAATTTTGATTACTATTTTGCTGTTTGTACAACTATTTACCTGTCTTTTGAAAGCAGCCACAGCCAATATGTAAATGAATAAGCATAGGTTGTATCCTCCCCAAAATTTATAAAAACAGCTGTCCGGAGGAAGGGATAGTCAAGGACTTCGGGAAGATTATGTACACACTGCTGTATTTAAAATGCATAGCCAACAAAAACCCTTATATAGTACATGGAACTCTGCTCAACATTATGTGCCAGCCTGGATGAGAGTGAGGTTTGGGGGAGAATGGATACATGTATGTGCATGGCTAAGTCCCTTCATTGTTCACCTGAAACTATCACAACATTGTTAATTGGCTATTCCCCAATACAAATATTTGGTATTAAGAATAAATAAATAAAATTAAGAAAACAAAAACAAAACCAAAACCAGGTGTCCAGTTCCACAGGCTGTAATTTGCTAACCCTGGCTCTATCTCAATAACTCTATGTGCCTCTAGATAAAAATCAGTTAACTACTCAGTTTTCCACTTTTCCTGTGTGAGACTTTCCCAATACTGCCAAAGGTCACCTCCTTCCTTATCACCTAAGGGAAAACTAAAATCTTCTTTTTCTTACTTGCTAGGTTTTTCAAATAGATCTGGAAGAAATCTTAAAATAAGCTTTGACTGCTGTATCCTTTGGCTTTCTTATCCTTAAAGCTTTCTTTTTCTTTATAAACCCATGTTTTACAATATTTCATTTCCTAAACAAACATGCTTATTTTTTTCCCTGTAGGCTCTGGTGACCAAATACTCGATATGACTGTCAAGCACAGCTTCTGATAAACCCAAACTCACCAATATCCCTGCTCTGAAATGATAAAAATATAAGCAAGGTCAAAGAAACAGGAAGTTTTAACTACTTTCTGCTATCATTTTCTATTACTGGCTTTCCAGCATTCATCTCTAGCCACCTGTACTGTCCTGCCTCCTATCTACCGTGACAGTGGCTTCCCAGGATCAGGAAAACTAGATACCAAGAATCTTTTGGGTAACAGTGAAGGAACAGCATTGGATAAAGTTAAGAAAGTAAGGTATAGAAGTTTTGGGGTACTTATTCAAAGTCAATTTCTTTAGCCAATGATACCGAAAACCCAGGAAAGGATACATCAGCATCCACGTAAGACTGCAACAGCCGGATCTCTCCTTGTGAATGACATTCATATAAGGTGACCTAGTGAAAACAAAACACCACAGAGTTCATCTCAAGTACAGAAACACACTCTCCAGCTTTTGAACATAATTTATTTTACTGTGCAATACAGTAAAAATTTAAAAGTAACTTAATACAGAAAACTATTAAAAAAGGAGAACTTTAAATTTAAGGAAATCATTATAAACCCTAATGCATTAAATAATTTTCAGAGTATATTAAACACTGTAGTAATAATTTATGGTTTCTATCTCCAATGTTTTCAACTTATTCATATAATTGGACCAATTCTTCCAAGTAAATACAGTTGAGTACCTCACAGTGAAGTATAACTACTTCCTAAAACTGTGGTTTATCCTCTTTTTTGTTTTTTTTCGGTTGTGCCATATGGCTTGTAAGATCCCAGTTCCCTGATAGGGACTGAACTTAGGCCCATGGCAGTGAAAGTGCAGAGTTCCAACCACTGGACCTCCAAGAATTCCTGTGGCTTAACCTCTTTAAAGTCTTTGGGTAGTTTTGGAGCATTTTTAATTACATAAAAGAAAATCTAAAATTTGCCTCATGGACATTGTTCGTTATTAATTAACTTTCTGCTGTACAGTGGCCCTTTCCATTTGTCATTTTCTAAAATTAATAACATATTCACTTTACTCAATTATGTACAGTGGTCCCTCAGTATCTGCAAGGGGATAGGTTCTAGGACGCCCACAGATACCAAAATCTAAGAATCCTCAAGTTCCTTATATAAAATGGCACAGTATTTGCATATAACCTCACATAGCCTCCAGTATACTTGATCTTTAGACCACTAATACAACATAAATGCTATGCAAATAAAGGTGCTGGCACAAAGCAAATTCAAGTTTTGCTTTTTTGGAACTTTCTGGAATTTTCTTTTCTGAATATTCTCGATCCATAGGTGGCTCAATCTGTGGATGTGGAACCCCGAGGATACAGAGTGCTTACTCTGTAATACTAAAATTTTTTTTAAACACTTTTTGTTGTGGACCATTGTTAAAGTCTTTATTGAATTTTTTACAATATTGCTTGTTTGGATTTTTGGCCCCAAACAATGTGGAATCTTAGCTCCCCAACCAGGGAGAGAACTTGCACCCTCTGCATTGGAAGGCAAAGTCTTAACCACTGGATCGCTTGGGAAGTCCCTGTAATACTGCATTTTTAAACATTTCTTTCAACTTTTCTTACAGTTTAGTCATGTTAGCAATACTGTTACTAATTTTAATGTCTATAAGAACTCTATAAAAATCCTTTAAATTACCTATTAATAAGATAATCTCTACATTAGTATTCTAAAAACATATTCTTTATATGGACATTAACTATGTTACATCTTTAGAAGTATTTTGCTTTATTAAAAAAAGAAGAGGTACAAATAGCAGACTTTCTTATAATTCAATAACCTATAATTCAATGTCATTTTAAGTGAGACTAGGGATTCTTTTTGTTAGAAAGCCTGGAACATTACAGTAGGCATTCTGAAGCACAAGTTATACTAATTCTAATTATACCAACATGACAATTAATAATAAGATGGTGAAGTTAGTGAAGTATGCTTATAGTGATGTCTTAAAAGTGAACTCAAATCAATTAATGGATTATATTCCCAATTTTCGGAAAAAAATAACCTTAATTTTTTCTTTGAACTGCATCAGGTTCCCTCTGAATCATTGTTTTCGAGCTACGTATCACAACATACATTTGGCTAAACATTAAAAAAAAGGCTGTTATCCAGGTTATCAACTTAAGTAGTGAGTTTCAACTTTTCAGAACTTTACCAACCAATAAAAGCATCTTCTCTGAATGCAGGGCAACTAACTAAGCCTGTGCGCCACAACTACCGAGCCTGTGCTCTACGGCCCAGACGCCGCAACGCGGAGCCCTCGTGCCACGGCTACCAAAGCCACAACGTTCCAGCCTGTGCTCCGAAACAAGAGAAGCCACCTCAGGAAGAAGCCTGTGTACCTCAACTATGCTCGCTGTAACTAGAGAAAAGCCCACACAGCAACAAACACCCAGCAGAGCCAAGTAATAAAATTATATATACATGAAAACTTCTTTGAAGACTTCCAGGAAATTATTTAAAGCCACGTTTTACTTTTCAGAAAATAGGAAGGATTTACCCCAGAATAGATGCATGCATGTTTGTAAGATTTTCAAACTTTTAGAAAATTAAAAAAAAAAAAAAGAAAAAAGTTTGGCAATATGCTGACATTTGGAAAATACTCAGCTGACAACTCCCAGGTTGGTTTTGATTGAAAACAGAATACTAACATTAAAAACATAAATATAGGAAACAGTGCATTCAAAATCAAGGTCTCTTATTTCTCTAACAAGTTTAGCACAATTACTAAAGAAGCATAAGATTTTATTTCACTCAATTAAAATAAGAAGTTACAGAATAGCTCCCAGATTCACTTCCTTCCCTTCCCCTCTTGGACTAAAGGTAAAGAAAGTGACTTTACTGTCAACCCATACCAGTTAGTCAATTTCCCCCAATCTTTCTTTTTCCAAACACACCAATCTGTTTTTCCATTATTCCTCATAATTCCTAGTACATTATTAAAGAATAACCAGAATGTAAGTTAATAAAAGACTTATTATTAGGAGGACAACTTTTCTTAAATGATTTTAACAGACTCCTGAGACTCCCAGGTAGGCACCAGGAATCTTCCTTTTTCCCATTCACTTAGAAGTGAATGGAAATAAAGTCTTTGCGATCCACCTTTTCAGCCCCAGATTCAACTAGAAAGCTAATAACAGTTTACTTATCAAAACATGTCCACTACGGTTTTTTCCATGCATTCTCAGTTCAAGATACTCCGGCTTCCTTAAATAAAAATAATTCAAAACAAATGTTTACTGTGTATAATTAAAATATTTTCAGTAACTATTATACAAATCCATTGGATTTATGCTTTGCATTTATAGACAGCAACTAATTACATTTATTATTTTTAAGAAATCCCAGACTTGTATTCCAAGTTGACAAATAACTATTACAGTCACTTGGAAAAAGAAAAGTCAATTTTTTCAACCACTTAGAACAATATTTATGAAGACAAAATATAGACTTGTTTCATGAACAATTTTGTGAGTATATATGAAAAAAGATATATTTTCAGTCATGAATATTAGTTTTAATTTTTGACTATTTCTAGAATGTTTCATTTTTACATAAAGCAATGATACTGTCAAATCAGCTATCCAAAGCTTACTTCAAAATCACTGCACTCCAGTGCTACATTGATACCAGAGACTGATGAGCCAAACGCCAAACAGCCCCTTAACACTCACTCTGTTGCTTCCTACAGTTGCAAACACTAATGGATCTCCTTCTTTACTGTGCCAGTTAAACTGAACTCCAAACAATGGTTGATTATGATCTTCCTATAAAATAACCAAGAAATAAGAAAAATCAATATATTTTAAAAACAAAAAAGGTAGTAAACTGATCATTACCATTAAAAACCTTCCCTTCCCCAAAATGCAAGCTGCAATTTTATGTATCATACATAAATGACTTTTGAAGCTTAAAAGATATGTTAGTCCAGTTTTCACATTTTAAAATACTGGTGCATGATAATACTATGTAACAATTAAAGACTCAGAGGTTAGGTAACAAGTATTCATCAATGAAAATACTTTAATAGTTGCTCTCTATCTTCTTAAACCCAAATGCCATGCTTTTGAATCAAAATATAATGGATAATTGTGACAAATGCATTTAATCTCTTAGGACACAATTTATTTTTCTGAAATAACAAATAACCTGAGAGTTAATACAGTTTCTCCAGTACTCATTAAACGTTTTCTGGTTGAATTCTTCCCTTGTGAAGTGAAGAAAATTGATTCCATTCAAATCACTGCTTTCCATTAGTTCCATAGAAACAAATTACTTTGAATTTGGATCCTAAAAGAAAATCCACCTAAGAAGTTTTATAACGAACAAGAACACTTGAAAGTGGGGGCCAGGGAGGCAGTGGGCTGTACCTCCAGTTATCAGGAGGTTATAAGGAGGTATATAAAAAAACAAGCAGTCAGTTTTTTGGTTTTTAACTGGAATAGGACTAACAATGTTGTGTTGGTTTCAGGTGCACAGCAAAGAGACTCAGCCATACACATACACACACCCATTCTTTTTCAAACTCTTTTGTCATCTAGGTCACCACAGAGTATGGAGCAGAGTTCCCTCTGCTAAAAGTATTCAGTTTTGCTCATAAAGTTATTTCTCAGCCTTAGGATTTTACTGGCAATTTCCAGTAACTTTCATATTCACTTTAAGGCACTTTAAAGTCTGACAACATTCATTTCTTATCCTTTAAAAAGCCAGTTTTAGGCTTTGGAAATATTTAATCAAAATAATGCAGTTCAAACCACTTTCCAAATATACTACGTAAAAATAAGTTAATATACCTAAATATTAACATGAAACTACAGACACTTTGCTTTAGAAGAAAAACACACACACAAAAACCCTGAGACTAATTTCTCTCCTTTTAAGAGTATAATTTGACATACAGAGCAATGAATTTTGCTACCTAGATAGGAAAATAATTTCCATATGGCCATAGCTTCTTATGCTTTTCAAAGACTTTAAAGGATACTTAGATATTTTAAAAGAATCTAACATATGCACAAGACACTATAATGTATATTTTTGCTCAGTATAGGAAAAAATCCCCAAATTAAAAAAACAGGAAATGAATGAATATATAAGACACTTAATGTCAGTAAACATTTTTAAAAAATAAAAAGACTATTGAGAAAGACAGTAATCTAAATAACTCCAACCTATTATTTCTCCCAAATATTAACTATGCAAAACCACTTTTCATTTATACCTTTTTTCTTGAAAACAATTACAAATAAGAGTTAAATTTTTAAAGACTGAACAAAGTAAGACATCTGTTTCAGTTTACGTTAACTCAAAGTTAATGAGTCACATTCAGTTCTTTTCAGTAACAGGTACCAGAAAACGGCTTACGCTTTTAAGTTTTACCAAAATATGAAGAGTAACATTTCTGGAAATCAATAAAAACAATAAAGAAAAACCAGATGCAATACTAATACTAGGTACTACCCATTTAAAACAAACAAAAAAAGCTAAACAAATGTGGAACGGATTATAATTATGTAGTCTGCCCTACAACAAAGCCTTCCAATTATTATAATTTTAAAATATTTTTAACTTGACAGAGAACCTTGAGCATAAAATGTTTACTATTGAGAACCCTGCAATTCTGGAACCCTGCATTCAGCCCACAGATTGTGTCTTTCTACATACCTTGAGACTATTTACACATTTGAAAGAATATTTGCATTTCTTTGATTTCCATTTTCCCTTCCCCCAACTCTTCCTTCCAGGCGCATTTGGCGTATTTGTAGGTGTATCAGGGCGTTCTGTGTTGGTACCGCTTTCTATACTGACAGCATCATCCTATAAGCAGCAAATCAGAAAAAACTATATGAAACAGCAATACTGTACTTAAGAAATGACTTCAAACTGGAAAGCTGCTGACCAGCCTAAAAGAAGTAATTAAGAAATCCTGCAAGAAATGAAAAAAATGTATTCCTGCAAATGCATTAAGATTTGTGGATATTTGCTATTTCAGCAAAAATGTAAACGAAAAACGAATCCTGAAGATGATAATGGTAATAATACTGCCTTTAAATAACAAGGCACTGGTTTGTGCCAGCCATGACACTATACTGCCTCATTTCATCTTTACTGCTCTTCATACAAGGTACTGTTAGATAAGAAAATGTTGCTTAGAGAGCCTAAGGTGGTGTTTTGCTGGTTGGTTGCTGGGATTGAAAACCAGAGCTTCTGGATTTGAAAACCAGATTTGACTCCTCAATCTGACTGACCTACATGTCCTCAGTCTGACTGCTTGCTGCTCAGTTTGGAGTATGGCAAGGGGTGGCTGTTTGAGGCCAGTGTGTTAGTACTTCCTATTTTAGATGAAAATCCTGATTATCATTCAAACTCTGCTTATTTATAACACTTAAACCATTTAAAAATTTTTTTAGGTTCTACATATTATGTGCTATTTACCAGTGAAATCTGACTCATGGCTCTAAAATACTCATGATTCAGAAGAGCTCCAGAAGCTCACTATAAAGTAAAATCTTTCCAAATGTAGAAGTGACTAGAAACCTTTAAATTCACCTAATTTATATCCTGTCTCCTGTCCACAAGATATATGAATGGTCCTCTACTCTCAGAAGAGGATTTCACTACCTCTTCCAATTACACATTCCAAAGTGTTCTTTGGAATAAAGAGATTTATTTAAACCTGTATCACCTTAGGGCAGTAGCTACTAAATCCATTCCAGAGGAAGCTTTTTTCATGGAGTGCCACTAACATCTATGAGAACACAGACTAGAAACCATCACCCTAGGGGCTATTTTTAAATTATTACTTCCTAAAGTTAGTTTTACGATATTACAGAATGTTAAAAATTCACTAGAATATAAAAAAGTATATTAAAAATTCACATTAATTTGCTTAAAACCTGTAAGGTATTATATGGTAGTTCTTAGGGGTGGCTTCCAAAACTTCAAATGGTTCATGCCAAAATGAAATGCTTTCAAAAAGGACACAAATTATTCTAACACTATAACGGGAAAAAGGGAATGGAGTGGATAGATGGCACACAGTAGTGCTCAATATCTAGACTGTAACTTAATGTAAACACAATCAGCTTTTAGATACATAAAATACAAAACTATATTTATTGAGTTCAGTTCCTAGGTTGAAATCACTGCTTTTAAATCTCCATTTTTTCCTTTCAGCTGAATTTACACAGTTAAAATCTAGTGTAGAAAACAATTTTGTGTTTCACTGGAAAACTTCATGTCTACCGCACACTCTTCTTCCATGTTATCAGATTCTAGTCTGCTTCACTGCCTTTGAACAATCTTACATCTCTTACACTGTGGACAGCCAAAGGCAGAGGTTCAAAATGTCTTCCCTTTCATTCTGAAGAAAAGTTTTTGTCTCCATTTGCCATTTCATCTCTACATTCCTTTCATCTGTATAGTCTGTACTGTGTGACTTAAACTTCACCAGTTGCCTTACATGAGTAAAATAAAATGTTTCTGAAAATTATCTTTTAACACTTGAGAAATGAAACAATACAATGGTTAGACATTTATTCACCAGCTTCTTTCCACTCTGGCTAAAAATTCAACTGCTAATCAATAAGCCACACAAAACATAGTAAATAACTGCGGCACATTACACACACACACAAACACACCCCTTTTAACCATTTAATTTACACACACACCTTTTATCCATTTAATTTACCCATCTCCTCAAATAGGCAAATAAAGATAGAATCAAATGGAAATGCAATACACTCACAGTGCTTTCATTTTATTTGTAAATTCAAACCTTTCCTGAGCATCTAGTATGTGCACAAGCTGATTTTCACCTTGACTCCTCCTCAAAGTATAGAATGGTACTGTGTAACAGACATGGCACTACCACCTTCATTTGCTCAACAAGGAAACAGGGCTAGTAATTTGTCCCTTGATCTTGTCACAGGTTCCTTAAGCAAAAGTCAAGTCTTCAGATTCAGCCTTCTGATCTTACTACCAGGCAACAATCAGTATTCTTTCAGAGGCCAATTATGCTGCACTTATAAGAAAAAGTTAATAAAATGGCAGATACATACACAATGAACTTAAAATAGGTCAGATATTAACTACACTTACTGTGCTGATCATTCTGCAATGCAAATACTTAATTATTATGTTGTGCACCTAAAACTAATAACATAATGTTATTACTCAATTATATCTAAATTTTAAAAAGTTTAACGTCCTATCAGTTCTTTGATTCACTTTAACAATATCAACTGCTGAGATTACTGTAACTCCAATTTTCAAATACCACATTCTTTCCTCCACTTGCCTTTGGCCTTCCTGTCATTATTTGGCTCCCTCAAAAGTTAAACCACTGCCCTTATTAGCTTTTTCTGAATTCATTTTTATACAGAGTTCTCTACTCCCTTCCTTTACTGCTTCTCTTAACCTATGTCCTAGATCTGGGTCCCTGGATGGAATTCAGAGGGCCTGTGAATTTATGCAGTTGAATAAATTCATAAATAAATTTAAGACTGCATCTTAGTTTTCACATTTTTAACTAAAATCTATTACTTCCTTCTATTATAATAGAAGTATACGTGTAGTATACGTGCTAATGTTAGTGTAGCTGTAACCTTCTCAGCAAAGGAAATCAAGAATTTTTATATTCCATTACAGTTGTTGCAGATCTCAAAAGCTGTCTATACCCATCAGTACTATCAGTCATTGTGAGGTCTAGTTACTTAATGTAATAAAAAAGTACTTTATTAAAACAAACCTGAAGTTTGTTTTAAACAATTTTATAACTTTCTTATAATTTTATCATTGATTTTGTTTGTAATCTTACATATTGTATTTTATACATTTGAAAATATTACTCTGAAGTTTCACAGGATTCATTAAAGTGTCCAAGGCAGAGAAAAGGTTAAAAGTCGCCATCTAAAGGAAGGAACCAAAACAAAGGCTTAGTCCAACCATGTAGCTCTGGTTTCAATATGCATCAAAGAATACATTCCTCTTAAGAATCTGTAAAAACAAAATAACCTTTCAATTTATTTAGTTCCCTGAAATTTTCCTCATTCTAAATTGGGTATTGACATCTTCATTACATTTCTGCCTGATAAATATCTGGAAGGACCAGAAACACAAGTCTAGATAATGTGATAACAAAATAAGGAGTAATAATTAAATAACACTTGCATGGTATTTATGAACGGGGCATTTGGTTCAGCACTTTACCTACATTATCTCATTTAATCCTCACAAACAGCCCATGAGGTAAATACCGTTATTATCCCCATTTTTAAGATAAAAATCCAAGGAAATTAGATAAAGTACCTAGATCAAGCAACCGGTAAAGCAGTAGAGTGGCGAATTTTAATCTAACACCTGGAACCAGGTTGTGCTCCTAGTCACTAATCTAATCTGCCAAGAGAAATTTAAGAGAAGGTGGAAATAGATTCCAATGGCTGGAGTGAAGAGGGTCAAAAGTGTTAGATCCTAATATATAATAAGACTGGAAAGCACAAACAGGAAAATAAAAAGATTTAAAGTAACAATCAACACCTACTAAGCCTTTCTGATTATTCAAGTCCAAATCCCACAAACTGACAACCCCCCAAATATCTTTCCTCTATCTGCAAAGAGAAGTCTTTCCCATCTGTTCAGCTGATACCATGCCACACATGTGCTTCAGTCGGTGTGTAAGATACACCATTTATTCTTAAAACTAGGCAAACTGAGAAAAAGAACTTACACCACCCTTCTATAATACTTCAGAAGACATTCCCTCGGAGGGTTCACATTTTAGAGTATCATCTCCGAATGAACCGTCGAGCCATTTTTTCCTGAACTTATTGGATATAAACTTAAAATGTGAAACGGAAAATTAAGGTTAGTTCGGTTGTCACTGGCGTCTCACCTAAACACAGTGGGGTCAACTGTTGGGACGGACTAGAGTTATGACTATTTTTAAAAAGTTTTAAAAAAAAAATCTGATTCCAGAGCACCTTTACACATGCGAGACCACGAGCCATCTACTTTTACTTTTACTACCGTTGCCTAGTGTCTTCCAGGTTGTCCCCGTTATCCTAGTGAAAACCGACGGAAGACTAACTGTCCCTTATTCCTTCCTCAAGAGTCGCTCCCCCTCCGACTCTGGAGACAACTCTCGCAGCTCTCCTCCTCCAGAAGTGAGGCCGACTGTCAGGCGCACCCCTTCTCCACAGACGACACAGGAGCAAACACAAAAGCCCCTTTAAGAGAGTCACCGAAATCCCTGACGTCGGAGATCTACTCTTCCCATCCTGGACCGCCAGGAAGGGTCTAAGGAGGACACGGTCCCTAAATCCCTTTTTTTTAAAAGTCCGTAACACGCTGGCCCCTCCTTCCAACTGTCTTAGGGGAAAAAAAAAAAAAAAAACACACCTCTAACTTGCCTTTTAAACTACTGGAATCTCAGATCCGCACTTTCCCCCCTAAAGGCCCAAACTCTCCTCCTCCACACAAAACGCTCTCAGGGCAGACCCCCTCCGACCCTCCGCCACCACGCTCTGGTCCCAGCCACACTCTCCTTCGCGAAGTTTCCTTTCGCTCTGGGCGCCCCAGGTCAAAAAAATCCCCTCAGAGACGAGTTCGATTTTCTCCTCCACGCCCGCGTTTTCCTCAGCAGAGCGGTGACACCTCTCCCTCCCCCCACCCCACCTTACCACAGCCGCCCGCCCGCCCCCGCGCCCACAGTTTAAAAAGAATTGAAAACTTTGACGGCCAAGTCCCGTCCGGACTGCCCCGGGGGGCTGCGCTCACATTCTCGTCTCCAGAGAGGTCCGGGTTGCTATTCTCGTCGCTGCTCAGCTTCTGCTTCTTGGCCGCAGGCATGTCTGTTCCCGCCGGCACTGTCGACACTTCCCTCTCGGACATATTCCTCCGCCTCCCTCCAGGTTCCTGCCGCCGGGGGCGGGGCCTCCGCCACACCGCCGTCAAGCAAGCCCGGCCGGAGCTTGCCGCAAAGCTGCCGCCGCCGCCACCGCCGCCGCTCCCCCCACTGTCGCAAACCGCGCCCAGCCGCCGAGGCGGGCGTGCGTGCGACCCCGCCACACTGCTGAAAAAGGGGCGCGCGCGCGCGCGCCCTCCCGCGCGGCTTCCCGGGTCCTTCCCTGTCCCCGCTCCCGTCTTGCCCTCTTCCCGCCGCCCTCCCGGCAGTTTGCACGGAGCGGGTGTGGGATCCGTCGGCTTCCGAGGGCAGTTATTTCCAACGTCCCCCTTCCCCGCGACCGCCCTGTAAAAGGAAAGGCGGAACTCTGAAGAAGGGTTGCCCCCTCACCCCCTTCCTCCTTCCAGAGACGGTTCAGCCGCAATTGGCCCAATCCTTCGATCCCCCGACCCCGCTGCGAGGACTCGAAAGTCTGTGGAATGGACGGGCCGACTCGGGTCCCGGGGGACGGGGGGGACCAGACGAGAAGTCGCCTCACGGTTCGGGCGTCTGTGCCGAGTGTTCTTCATCTTGAACTCGAGGAGTAACGCTGTCACGTTATGCGCGGAACTGGTCACCATCTCACTTGCGGTTGAGAACAGAAATTCAAAAACTGTAGAGAGCCTCGCGCCTGCCTCCCCTGCCAGGCGAATGGAAGGTGCCCGCTAACAGGTGCGCATGCGCTGGGGCGTGTGCTCGCGCTTGGTTGTCCGGGCCCGCCTCCTCCAAGCCCCTCCTCTTGGAAATCTTGTTTTCCAACCAGGTAGTCTTCCACTGGGTGTCCGTGGCCAAGGATGGATCTCAAAGCACCACCCAATCGTCATCCCCTGAGTGCGTCCTGATTTCTTGATGAATACTTATTCTAGTGAATATTGATCGCAAGGAATGATTATCCTCGTCCAGTTAGTGCCAATATTGGATAGGGCTTAAGTAGGAATACCCTAAAATTATAATTCTAGACTCCTTTGAATTACATTCCAAAGTGCTTCCTTTAGTTCTTAAAGAATGTTAACGGCCCTGAAAAATGCCAAGGCCTGAAAAGCAATGTTCACCTCCAAGTATGTATGAGGCTGAGAGACTTAAATTACGGACCATTATTTTTTGGGCATGATTTTGACAAATTATAGGAGAAGTCAACAAAAACTGTGATGTTTTACAAAAATGTTTGTGTTATGTCTGGGCTCTTGACAGGTGCTAAGTGCATTGGTGAGCCTCTTGGTAAGAAATAAAAGGCAGCTCCCTCTTATCTGCCTCTTTGGGAACTTAGCTGTGACTACCTACATTTCTGGCCGTATTGTCCTCATCTGTAAAAATGACGATAAAGGAAGGGACCTAACATTTCTTGAGTACTACTGGATAGGATCTACTTTTTTGTGTGTTCTAGATCTCATTACATCACCTGTTAGATAATCAGTAGAAGAATGCCCCATCCATAAAATTCTAGTGTCCTTGAACTACTTCTGTATGATGCCTAAACATACTACAGATTGCAAGTCACTTCTTTTGGAGACAAGGAGAGAACTCTTGAGAATTAGAAAGGTAAGGCAGAGGCAGGGCAGAATTTAGATATTTTTGTAATGAAGATTCAAGAAAAATTAAGCAAGCTGAAAAAAAAAGTTTGGATTTAGTATAGTACTTGCACTTACTTGTTGAACTCCTAATGTGCCAGGCACTACTAATCAGTTAGTTGGTGAGAGAGAGATGAGACTAGTAAGTATGGAGTCTTTACTGAGAAATAAGATGTGCCTTGTTTGACATGTTCATGGGCAGAGACGAACATAACCCATTTATCTGTTGAGAAGGATGTTTGTGAAATATAGTCCTACAAATAAAAGGGTAATCAACTAAAGCAATTCCAATCCAAATTGCTCTTTGTATCTGGGATCAGTGGGAGCTGGGAAGTGGGAATCAATTTCTACTCATAAAATTTAAGAAGTGCTGAACGACTGTGAAACTCAATGGTGTCATTTCAGGGGGCTCCAAAGAGCTCAGTACCGCAGTCCTTTATGTCTCAGCACAGGAAGAATTTAGTGAGAGGCAAAGTGATCAGTAAATGATTTGTTAGAATAGGATGCTTGTGATGTTTACAAGCAGGTGGGCGAGGGGGTGCTCTGCCCTGAGTACTTCGTGGGTTACATTTTTATAGTCAGAGGAAGAGAGGGGAGGAGGAAAAGACCTTCTTTGTCTTTCTTGAGTAAACCTCATGCTTCCATCAGTTCCTCCTCCAGGTCGGACAGGCAAGTTTTCTTGTCCTTACATGGTCAAGCTAGGTTCAGAGTTACTGTTTTTTATGTGTGCAGAATATGTCCTAAGGATCATTAACCTATTGAGCTCACTGGGCAGGATTTCGGCCTCACGCCACCATTGTTTTATTGTTTTGGGTCATGCATTGTGCTTCTAGTGCATGGTTTTGTTGCTATGCAAGCCTGCTTGGTTTTGTGGTTAAGTAAATGTGCTTTCCTGAGTAATCATTAATTTGTGGGGTCTCCCGTATTTTTTCCTACTTACAATCCCCTAGTGGGATTAGCTATTTAATCACCTACTTTGTCCCTTTACTCTGTCCCTTTCATTTGGATAAAGGACACATATGGAGGGAAAATGTCTTTCAGCATTCATGATACCCATAACAAAACAAAAATATTTTTAAAGAGTTTTGTTAAAACTTGGAGGGATATTTTTAAAGGTTTGTCCAATGAATCAGTGTTAATAAATAGAAATTAGTTAATAGTCATTGTCGCTAATGTTAAAAAATTATTCTGACGCTTGTTAAAACAGGAACTTTATTCAGTACTATCATGATAAATGTCAAGACTGTCAAAGTAGGAAAGAGAGAGGGCTCAACTCTGAATACAGCAAGGGTAGGTGGGGATTTATAACCAAGGAGAAGAGTAGGGGGTGAAGGAGTTAGACATGTCACTTGCAATATGTTGCTTTGGTATATTTTTTAACATTTATATATAAATATATATTTATTTGGCTGCGCTGAGTCTTGGTTTTGACATGCAGGACCTTCAGTCTTCGTGGTGCCTGTGAACTAGTTGGGGCATATGGTATCTAATTCTCCAAACCGCCAGGCCCCGGCATTGGGGGCTTGGAGTTTTAGCCACTGGACCACCAGAGAAGTAATAATTCTGAGGTGAAGACACTTTGAAAAACAGACTTCTCCAAGCTCCACTTGTCTGCCTAAAGACAGTCCTCCAAAAGGAACTGAACTGTCATAAATTCCCTCCCTAGGAATTTCAGCAATCAGGGAAGATTGACTCTAGTCACCAAAGAAGAGACTAGAAGTCAGGACTCAACACCACACCCAGAGAAATTTTGCAACACACTATCATTACCTCCCCTCTATTCTGAGCCCATTCATCTTTCTAAAACATTACTCTTGCCCAAGTAGCATACACCTCCCTTCCCCTTTCCCCTACTGAGATTGTTATAAACTCTCAAAGATCACTGCTTTTTTAGATATTCAATTTTTCCCCCACGATGCCCCTGTGCATGTGTTATTAAAAAATAATAAATTTATATACCTTTTATTTTGGTAACTTGCTTGCTTTTAGTTTGTTTCTTAGGCATAACTATCAAACCTAGAAGGTTAGAGGGAAAGTCTTTCCTCCCCTACAGAGAAGTTGGTGGATGGAGATTTGCTAAAGGAGACATCAAGAGTAGAGGGATTCTTCCTAATCCAGCTCACCAGGGTTATCAGATATCAAACCTGGATAATTCTTTCTAAACCAACTTAGCAGAATTCTTGCGAAAACTGAATTAGGGAAGTCCTAGGATAAGGTCTAGTTGAGGACAGGGCTCAGAGGAGCCTGATTAATGTTTAATTAAAGAGTCTTTCGTTAGGCTCCTCTGAACCCTCTTCTAATTCAACATATAAAATATCACAGGTATGCTATTTAGAGTGCTATTCTTCTGATATTAGTTTAATAAATGCAAAAGACTAATTACCTATTAAAATCAAGTTTTTCAATACTGAATTCTCTTACTGTGAAAGATTTCAGAAACCATCACAGTTGGAGAGGTCTTACTACCTACATTTTACAAATGTGGAGGTAATTCCTTGGTGATCCAGTGGTTAGGACTCCAATCTGCTGAGGGCCCTGGATTCAGTCCCTGGTCGGGGAACAAAGATCCAGGAAGCCGTGCGGTGGCCAAAAACAAAACAGATGTGTAGAGCACACACATGCTCATGAATTGCTCATTCATGTCTGATTCTTTGCAAGCCCATGGACTGTAGCTCGCCAGGTTACTCTGTCCATGAAATTCTCCAGGCAAGAATAATGGAGTGGGTAGCCATTCCCTTCTCCAGGGGATCTTCCCAACCTAGGGGTCAAACCCGGGTCTCCTAAATTGCAGACAGGTTCTTTCCCTCTGAACCACCAGGGAAACCCCATGGAAAGAATAGTTCAGTGTAATTATAATTAAACAAGTTGCCCACAAGTACATGCCTCTTCCAAGTGATAGAGCTACAGATCCTAATCAAGTCTGGTTGATTGGAAAGTACTTCTGCCTCAAGATGAAGGACCCCAGGCAACTCTAGATATGTGTATTTCTACTTAGAGAGCTTGATATCTAGAACACACAATCTTTTACACACCACTGAAGAATATGAGAAGGCTGTCTCACTTGGGTCAGAAAGAGGAGGTAACTGGAGAAACAGGAAATTCAAATGAAGTTTGAAGTTTTATTAATAATTATGTGTTCCAATTTCTTAATTTTGGAAAGTGTACCATGTTAATATAAGATGTCAATGAGAAAAACTTTCCAACTTTTCTGTAAAATTATCCCCTATGAAAAACCTTATTTAAAAAAAAGAAATCTGTCTCATATCAGACTGTTGAGAACTCAGGTCAGAAATACCCGTTAACCTTCAAATAAGTACTTGATCTATTTTGGAAAACATTCAAAGATTATTTATAAAGAATGAAATTTTTTCACAGCCTCC